TATTTTGAAGTCAGAAACTATTTTTTAAAATTAAAAAAAATGAGTCAAATAAACAAAGAATGATAAAAAATAACAAAGTCAGAAATAAAAAATAAATGAGGTCACCAATTTGTCACAATATCATTGGATCATTCCATAATTTTTTTAGAATTTAAAAATGCATAATATTATTTTTAAACATTTAAAACAATTCAAATAAAGTGAAAATTTATAAAAAATATCAAATCAAAAAATAAATTTGTGAAAAAATATAAATCAGAAAGAGAAAAATCAAAAATATTTTTCATAATTTTTTCAGATTTTTTGGACTAAAAATGAATTTTCTATGATTTTTTTGAAATTTAAAACAATTAAAATAAAAATCATAAAATAAAATATCAAACCAAAAAAATATGGGCCATCTGATCAATGTCAAAACGCGATAGTAAACAGATCAAGTGGACCTGGCGCGTTGTGCACGTTATGGACTTTAGTGAATAAAGCACTGAATCATTAATTAAATCAGATTTCAAAAAAAAACAAGTGGCGCACCCTCATTGGTTGGAATATGACACGTTGTTCATCTTCAACCTCCAGCCAACGTGAATTGCAAGTCTCTCAAACTGTAAAATCAGAACTCAAACATATGCCATTCGCTTCGTCTCTTCAAGACGAAGACAACCACACCTTCGCGACAAATTTATATAAACTGTAGCTCAAGCAATTTGGAAGGAAAGTTTTCAAAAGGGATTTGAAATTTCATGGTGAAAATGTGTTTCCAGATAAAAGCAAGTGTTGCACCTAGAACCAGAGCAATGAGAGCTTCACAATGATATCAAAGTTTTGAAGAATTGATGGATAAATCTACCTATTGAAGTTGAGTTGCAGAGCTCTGAAACTGGACTTCTATGGACTAATATAGGGCACAATTCTTGAAGGTAATTGTAAGGTTAGCTTCAGGAAAGATCAAGGAAGGTGAATTGATAGAAAAATTGGATTGAAAAAGGCTTGAACACTGATTTCGAAGTTACAGAAAATTGAGTTATAGAGCAAGTTAGGAAGGGTGATTCTGGTTATTCAAGCTTGAATAAATGAATGAGGGATGACCCTCTATTTATAGGGAATCAAATGGAATGTTCAAGCATGTGAAATGATGAAGTTTGGAGGGAAATCGTGCGAAGTTGCAAACAAGAAAAGTGTGACTTCAAATTTGATCAAAACTCATCCAAAACGCGTGTTTTGCTATGCTAATAACTTCTGGAAGTTCACTAAATATGTTTAGAAGCTAAAACGCGCAGAAACAAAGTGTACAGAAGCTAAATCAATGATTTCAAGTTCTGACTTTTGAAGAAACTTCAGTTTCAAGTTACCAAGTTCAAATCAATGGCATTCTCAGCTCAAGGGGTCTTTGGGCATGATTCTTAATGCTTTAGAAAGATGAGGTTACAATCTTTGAAATTGGAAAAGAATGGAATCAAATGGATGTTTGAGCTGGAAGTTTCAATGAGTCAAAGTTGGGAAAAAGAGGTTGACATTCCATACTTAGAAATATTTCAAGTTTTTCTTCAAAAGTGACCTATAATGTTTTGCATCCAAACATGACCTTCCACTTGGAATTTGCTCTTTACAAAAAAAGATGGCATGAAATAGACCTCTTGAATGACATTTTGGAACTTGAAAAATTCAAAATCTCCAAAAATTGAGAGAGTTATGAATTGTTGAAGTTGGCAAAAAAATCATGAAATGACCTATAATCTTTTGTATCCTTAGTATATCTTCCATCCATTTTATAACTTTGCATATAAAAGAAGGGATAAAGTTCACATCCTCAAGATCATTATGGAAAAAGAGTGGGCTGAAGGTGATAAAAATTGACCAAGTTATGATCATTTGAAGTCACACATGAGAAATTGGGGGTTCATCTGAAGGACTTGTAATCTTTCTTCATCATCAAGTTTCTTACACATGAAAACTCCTTGAAACTTTTAAAGTTATTTGCTAATAACCTTTTGAAGATAAGGATTTCTTTGGAATCACTCAAAAATACCAAAAGATGAGACAGATATACTTCTTTGAAGTTCAAAATCCTAGCTCCTAAGTCAAGAAAATGCTTTGAGGAACTTTGACAATTTTGAACAACCTTCTTGTACCAACACTTTTGCTTTGTAAATAGAAGTTGTTGAGGATGATAATGAGAACTCATAGCCACCAAAACCACTTCCATATCTTGAGAATTGAGAGAAATATGCACTTGTGACCAATGGGAACAAGACCTTGTCCAACCATGACAACTTCTTTAATCAACCCCTTGTACTTTTGAATCAATTTTGATAACTTTGAAATGTGGTGAACCAAGATAACCTTGCCATGCCATTTCTTCCAAAACAACTTCAATGGTGAGGTTTGAATTTCTAAAGCTTTATTGACCAGGTCATGGAAATAAACTCATGAACCCATGGATCAACTTGCTAAGCCATATTGCCTTTACCTACATTGTTGACAAGTAAGACAAACCAACATTGCATTTTATTAATTAAAAGGAAAGTAAAAATAAAACACGAATGATCACAAAAGAAAAACAAGTCAAGGTTCTTGGTGATTCCTCAAAGAGCATAACTAAAGATAGGGAGGAGAACCAAAAAAACCTAATGTGATCTTGTTGTGATTGAATCAATATGATATGATGAAGGGATCTTAGGGGCAAAAATTGGGGTATAACACACCCTTGTTGTCTTTTATCCCCTATGTTGTGATAAAGGCACAAGTTCATTCTCGTACTGTTTACTCCCTAGGTCGTAGTAAACATAACGAAATCTACATAATCCATCGCATCAGTTTCTATGCAACAATGTGTTATCAAACTTTGTTTTATTCGTCCCCTAGGTTGCGATGAATATGCAAAATCCACGTCATTAGCTTACTATGTTAGTCTCAAAGCGTTAGTGAGTCAAATTTCAAACTGATTTTGTTTATTTTGTAACTGCGATATAGCTTGTTGCATCAGTCTCAATGCAGCAATAAGTTATCAATTTTTCAACTTGTGTTATTTACCTACTAGGTTATGGTAAATACTCAAAAATCTACGACGATCTCTTTTCTAGGTATTGGCGAGTTATCTGCATCGTCATATCTAGGTCAAACTTATTCTTCAATCATATCTCTCTATTCAAACTCTGGTAGGATGATACATCATCATCTTTGTCTATTTCTTTTTTCAAACTCTGGTAGGATGATACATCATCATCTTTACCTATTTTTTTATTAAAAATATGGTAGGATAATACATAATAATCTTTGTCTATTTCTTGGTGCTCTTGGGTATGCTATAATCTATGATTCGAATATGCGAGACTTGCACATTCTCGCACCATTCAATCGAAGAGTGATTAAACAGGGACAACTGTCATACTCCAAATTTGCCCGCCCTTTATTTCTACGATCAAAAATATTTTCAAACATTAGTTTTATAATATTCTTTGATTTTTATAAATATTCGCTTCCAAACCTATTTAAAAATATAATAATTTATTTCAAATTATTTGTATTTTTAAAATAGAAAATATCTGCACACCTTCCATATACTTTCAATTGAGTTTATTTACAAATCAGTAACACAACACAATTGGTAAATAATGAAGTTTGTAAGAACAAGGTTGTGGGTTCGAGCCTGTTGTGATGCATTTTTTATTTTAGTTTTTTGTTACTAATTTTCTTTCCTTTGCATTTTTTATTTTAGTTTTTTGTTACTAATTTTCTTTCCTTTTTGGAAATCAGACTTTGGGCTGACTTACTTTCCAAGTCTTTTAACCTAATTCTAACTCTATAAATATGACTCTTGTTGTCCTAGTTTTTTCATCCACAGTTCATTAACAATTTCATCAACAAATCAACAATCACACTAACACATTACTTGTTTACAAATTTCTTTTCAATTTTTCTCTTCAAAATTTTTTGGTGTTATTGTTTTTATTATTGACCGATGATTTCATATGAGACCCTTTTTAATTTCAATTCAGTTGCTATCTTAACCAAATAATAAATATCTAATGGTTCACTTTAAATAAAAAAATATTCTTCTTCATGTCAATTGCTCATCTAGTATTATATACATATAATTTCTAACACTCTCTTTATCTTATTAAAAATTATTGTTTATTTCAAGTGACAGTAACAGTTCACCTTGTACAAACCTACACATACTTGAGACACAGTACACCTTGTACCTACAAACAAAAACCCAAAGTCACTACACTTTGAATATTTACAAAGCACAAACTGACTTTCTAACACTTTCATATTAAACAATTTGCGCAGGGAATCTCTTTTCACATTTACATCATTCCTTTCAAAACAAATCTCATGCATCACATGTTTTCATCACAGAACCATAACAATTTACATCATGCCCAAACCTATTTTCCATATCCATATCCAAACAATTTTCAAGTCACAACATCAAACCTTCCATGGATCGATAGATATATCCAACAAAATCTACATAACTAAACTCATAATAGTGGACAAGTTTTGTTTGTTTTGTGCAGAAAAACAGAAGAAGAAGCTGAAGCCGACACCGAACTCCTCATAGCCTCCGGTCATCCCCCACTTTCGATCGATTCGCACGCTTCCGCGATTCAAACCCAAATCCAGAAGTTAATATGAAACACGCCGAGGGGAATGCGATTAAAATCCAGAAATCGTGAAAGCACCGAAACCGCGACTCCGAAGCTCCAACGAATCTCACCTCCAACGAGCATGCCGAGCCACCGATCTGCAAATCGCTGGCTGCCCAACCCCAATCTTCGAGTCATTGTATCACAATAATAACCTCTGCAAGACCATCGCCACCACTACAATCAACACACACACCAGAACCGACGATGTTTTCCGCCCACGCATCATCCGACAACTTTGAGCACTCCTCACAGGCGCAAAATCAAACTACTAACTATTTTTCATGTTTTTCCTGCAGGTTGAAAGAACAAAATTTAAAAGAGGAAGTAAATTAACAAAAACAATGGATGAGAAGCAAGTCACCACAACCTGCACATACTATTATATCACTGCGATTAAACCTCCTCAAGCCCCGTTCCGACATCGCAACAACCTCCAACTACAACATCATCCTCGCCACGCACATGCCAGTGCTCGGACAAAACCGCGGCGGCGCCCCCACCACCGTGGGCTGGTCGCGACTGCTCTCATCCTTGTGCCACTCTCTGATCACGCCCTTCCCTCGCCCTGCATACCGTCACCGGATCTGTAACCGTCAACCACCACCGAAGAATCCGACGGAACTCCCGTCGTCACCCATACCAGAGAAAGAAAGAGAGAGGCACGAATGTAAAGAAGAAGAGGAACTCTTGTCTGTTCTGAAAGAGGAGAAAGGAAAGTGAATTGTCCTACTGGTGCTTGGTAATAGTTTTTTTTTTAAAATTCCAATAATTTGCGTATCATAAGGTTATTGGTGGTTGCTGCAAGCTTAAAACTCAAGAAACAAATTGTTATAAGTTGTGAGGTATTTTCGTACGTTTCATCTTTTGCTTTATTGTTTAATTTAAATTATTGGTATTAAGGCTTAGTTTGATCTGGGCTTTTGGGCCCTTAATCAATTTTTTAGTCTACACTTTTACTAACCTCTTACTCCAGTTCAATATACACCTATAGTCCAAGTATTCTAATTTTATTGCTAAGTTAATTAATTTTGGTTAATTAAATTAGTTTTAATTATTTTAATTAATTTAGATTAATCAGTTAGTTCTTTAATTATTATAAATACTAAAAGTAATTACTCATGCAATTACTAAATTCTCTCGATTAAATTTAAATAAACTTGTGTATGTTAATCATGTTTCTTTTCAAATCAAATTAATTCAATATTTCATAAAGATATTAAAACCCGCATAACTTACCAAATACTTCATTCGCGAGTGACACGTGGTCAATTTTTGGCCACATGATAAGGAAGACTTTGATAGACTTCCTCTGTGTCCTTCACGACGAGCAACACATAGCCAATATCTGGTCATGCTATGAGGAGACTATATCAGACTCCCCCGCTTTACGTCCTACCATACTATTTAATTAAATCAAAACATTAAAACAACTAACCAACATCAAATTAATTTTTAATAACATAATAAAAAACCCAAGATATTTTCGAAAAAGGATTAGATAGAATTACTTTCAAAATTAACTGTGAAATGCGTCTACAATCACTCAACTTACAACCCAGACTAGGTTCAAGAATAATTTGAAAGCAATTCTACGTAATCCTATAAAAAACACCAACCAAACTGCGAACTATGAATTGGGACTCTGATTCCTCATAAGAGGATATGTAGGCATACGACTAAAAATCGTGGCGAGTTCCCCTAATAAAAATTAAAACCCTATTTCCTAAGCCGTAATTCTAAACCCTAGTATCCTTGTGAACAAGGTAGACGAGGGGTGCCTAACACCCTCCATTCGTCTAAGAATGAGTCCAACAACTTAGAATCTTTGCCCAAATTAGGGTTAACCTTTATATTCCCTTCCTTAGGATAAAAATTAAGGGTGACGACTCTCAATTTTAAAACCGGATACAACAGTGATCATGGAGAAGAATTCAAAAATTAGCCATTTGAAAACTTTTGTGAAAAACTTAGAATTCTCCATGAGTTCTCTTCTCCTAGAACTCCACAACAAATGGAGTCGTAGAGAGAAATAACAGATCTCTACAAGAAATGGCTAGAACCATGATCCATAAAAATAATTTACCCAAGTACTTGTAGGAAGAAGCTAGAATCTATATTATACCTATTATGAACAAAACATCACATGAGCTCTTCAAAGGAAGAAAGCCAAGCATTTCTTATTTTCATCAGTTTGGATGTACATGTTATATTTTGAACAACAAAGTCTATCTAAAGAAATTTGTTTCTAAAGCTCAAAAGGGTGTCTTCTCAGGATACTCTGAATGCTCTAAGGCATACATGGTGTATAACTTTGAAACTAAAATGGTTGAAAAGTAAATACACATCAAATTTTATGACAAAGAGACTGACAATCATATGTCAGAGCTTGTTGAAAGTTTTGTAGAGATTCAGGTATCTGAAGACTCCTTAAAAGTTGTCTACTCAGAAGCTTCCCAACCTTCAACAGCTGGATATCCATGAGCTGTTGATTCAAAAACCAACCAACCTTCAGAAGTTGGTGGCCCAGAAGCCAATCCAACATCTGAAGCTCATCCAGAATTAGAATTTTTTGAAGAAACTCACGAGGGTTCTCAAGAAGTAACACAATCCAAGAACTCTTTCAAACATAAGTCTTAACGTCCAGAATAGTTAATCATTTGAAATAAGGATAATTATAGGAAGATAATATCTACATTCAGAAGATAACACTCTATGTTAGCACTTATCTCCAGGATTGAACCTACTTCTATTGATGAAGCAATAACAAATGATGGATGTATTGTGGCTATGCAAGAAAAGCTGAATCAATTTCAAAGGAATGATGTTTAGGTCTGGTACCCAAACTTCATCAGTAGAATATTATTGGAACAAAATGGGTCTTCAAAAACAAGTTCAATGAATAAGGTGAAATAGTAAGAAATAAAGCTAGACTTCTAGCTCAGGGCTACAGTTAGCAAGAAGGTATTGATTTCTCTGAAACCTTTGCACCTATTGCAAGTTTAGAGGCAGTCATATTAATTTTATCTTAAGTTATTAATCATACTATCATTTTATATCAAATGGATATTAAGAGTGCATTTTTAAATGGTTTTATTTCTGAAGAAGTGTTTTTCAAACAACCACTTAGGTTTGAGGATTCTATCCATCCAAAATATGTTTTCAAACTTAAGAAATCAGTCTATAGACTCAAACAAGCTCCCATAGCTTGGTATGAGAGAATGGATAATTTCCTTTTAGAAAATGGTTTTCAAAAGGGTCAAGTGAACACTAAAGAGTGACATCTTAATTGTTTAAGTCTATGTTGATGATATTATTTTTTGTTCTACTAATGCCACTCTTTGTAAAGAGTTTTCTAAGATAAAGCAGGTTGAGTTTGAAATAAACATGATGGGGGAGTTGAAGTTATTCCTTGGAATACAAATCAACTAATGCAAGGATCGAGTCTATGTCCATCTGACCAAATACATAAAGGAACTTATGAAGAAGTTTAAGTTTGATTAATGCAAAATCATGACAACTCCCATACATCCAACCTGCAATGAGCAAAGAGGAAAGCAACACTTAAGTCTTTCAGGAGCTATATAGAGGTATGATAGGTTCCTCGCTTTTTCTAACAAATTTTAGACCTGATATTTTATTTAATATATGCTTGTGTGCTAGATTTCAATTAAATCCTAGAGAGACTCACTTAACCATTGTTAAGAGGATCTTTGGGTATCTGAAGGGAACAACTAATCTAGGATCATTTTATAAGAAATCTCTAGATTTTAAGCTGGTTGGATTCTATGATGTTGACTATGACGGGGATAGAATTGAGATAAAATCCACTATTAGAAACTGTCAATTCATATGTGAAAACCTTTTATCCTGGACTAATAAGAGACATGTTGTAACACCCCATTTTCAATTTAGAGTATTTTAATCACACAATTATATGAATGTAATATTTTTTTGTGTTTTGAAGAACAATGATATGTGTGTTCGTGCTTTGACGAGAAGTGGCTACCTTAGATAATGTGAAACTAAGGCATTAGAGGTGTATGACCAAAACCATAGAGGCATGGGGGTGTAGTGAGAAGACTAGTGTATATTTTATTATTACTATTAGTAAAATAATAGAATAATTATTATATTAGATTAGATTAAAATAATTATTTAATTAAGGAAAGGGAAAAGTTGGAATAATGATTTAGGGGTCCAAGGGTCTTTGTTGGAATAAAATATAATTGAGAAGAGAAAAGAGAGTCAGAATGTAGAAACATAGTCAGAACGATCATAGAAGAAAGAAGAGGAGAAAGAGCATTGAGAAGCTAGAGCAAGGGATTTCATCGTCGGGATTAAGAATCGTCAATCAAAAGTAAGGATGGGGTTCTAACTCTATAATGAGTTTCATAATGATGGGGAACGATAGTGATTAGGTTCCATAGTTGTATGTTATTGAGTTCTCATTATCTTGTTTTGTGGGGTTTCACACTTCGATGAATTGTTGATGCATTTTGAATAAAATTGGTAAAATTGTTGACGTGAAATATGTTGGAATGATGAGAAATGTGTGTGTATATTTTGTGAAACCAAATGACACTATTTAGATTGAAAAACTTGGATTTTTAGGGTTGAAAAGAGGAATTCCCGTAGCAGAATAAATTGCATAAATTTTCACCGTCAAACTGAGGAAATCGGTTTCCTGTTTTGAAGAAACCCGTTTCCTGAGTGACTTTTTAAGAAAATTGCTACTAGACGTGATGGAAACTGGTTTCCTATTTTGAAGAAACCGATTTCCTAAACAAAATTTTGGGAAAATAACTACTAGATGTGAAGGAAACCAGTTTCATGTTTTGGAGAAACCGATTTCCTGAACCAAAATTTGAAAAATCCAGAGACTTGTAAGATTCATAACTTTTGACTCAGGTGTACGTTTGACGCGCCGTTTAAACCGATGGGAAGCTCAAATTATTTTCTATCCTATAAAAGTAAATTTAAGCATAATAGGAGAATATTTATAGAAAATGATACTCGTCAGTGTATATTTTAGGTATACCACGATAGTGAAAGTTGTGTGTAAGTATGTAGATGATTGTGTGAATTTATATCGCTGTTTTGCATAGTATGTTGGATGATGATGATGATGATGTTTCTGGCTTGGAAGTGGCGTAATATTGATGGTTTAAGATCTGTTATTGCATAATTATGTTGTTGCATGTTGGTGTTGCATGCATTCTTGATGAGGGCTTATACCTATTGATGGCCTGTATTGACAAGAGGGTGAAGGCTTATGCCCTGTTGCTGTCCTATTCGACATTATAATGAGGGATTATGCCATGTTGACTTGTACCACATGCATTGAGTCCGTGAGTCGGTAACATTGCATTACATTATTAATTAACTTGGTGCTATTTGAGGTGGAATATGCATGTATTATATCATGATAGATATTATGTGTTGTTTGTATTATTGATTATATGTTGATGCACCTTGTGATTGCTATGAATGAAGTAAAGGTGTGAGGTAAAGAAGTATAATTACGCATGCTTGAATTTCTATCTACTCATTATTATGATTTCTCTTATATTGTTATGATATCTCACCCCTTCTGTTTGAATGTTACCTTTATATTAGTAACGTACAGATGATCCGAAGTAACACTTGGGGGAAATTGTGCTTGTTTTATTTATGTTGGGAGTAAACTATTATAGAACTCCATTGGTTGGATTTAATTGATG